AGAATCATCTCATCAATTTTAGATTGTGGGATTTTCGCCCACTCTTGCTTCAAAACTTGGAGTAGATCGCTCTTCGAAGTTGGTTTTTTTGGTTGTTTCTTGACTTGCCAGTCGAGTATGGCCCAGAGGTTTTCGATGGGGTTCATGTCAGGTGATTGGCTCGGCCAGGGCAACTTCTGAATATCATTTTCTTCCTGCTACTTTCTAGCAGTGTGACACGGTGCTCCATCTTCCTGGAATAATGTTGTGTTCTTGTCCACAAAACCCAAGGAATAAAGTGGCAATAGTCCTTCCTCCAATATTTCAACGTATTTCGCAAAATTTATGTTGCCAACACAGTCCATTAAGCTCGATCTCCCACCAACCCAAACAGCTCCCCAAACCATCACGCTGAAACCACCATGCTTCACATTTGGCTGCAATCTGTTGAGCCAAAACTCTTGGTGAGGCATTCTCCATACCCATATCCTTCCACTGTCCAAAAATTGAGCAAATTTTGATTCGTCTGAGAACAATACGGTCTTCCAAAAGTCATCATATCACTTGCCCACTTCTTTCGTCTGACTATGTTGGCAGGTCTTAATAAGGGCTTCCATCTAGCTGCTCTGCAACGATAACCCAATCTGTGGAGAATCCGTTGAACAGATTTCGGGCTCATCCCACCAGCTTTGGCCACTTCTGCAGTCATTAATCTGGGATCCATTTCGATGCTCCTCTTCACAGCCCTTTTTGTCCTCACCAATGGACCAGGACGACCGAGATGCTGCTCAGTTGTTTCCTTGCCGTGTTTCCTGAACTGCACAATGATTCTGTTGACTGTCGAAAGCGGGATTCCCAAATTCTGCGAAATTTGCCGATGACTTATTCCACCATCTGCTTGACCAACTATCCTTCCTCTAACAAAATCTGACAATTCGAGAGAACCTTGAGTTCTAGGCATGTTGTAGCACAAGATAATTAGTGTGCGGACTATTTTCATTTATATAGTGCTATGTGAACACAAATTAGTTAGCATAAATGAGTTAAATGATTAAAAATTAGGTTTCTATTTACTTGTGACCACTCAGTGTATGTAGCTATACACAATAAAGTTGCATGAAATAGTAATCACAACATACAAAACTTAAAATAAATTGGCTATAAGCTATATTTATGTAGTACTATGGCCAAAGGGACATTATTTCTTTAAACTCTCCAATCTAAAGCTCCATTTATGTGGTATCAATACAAATTGTTTAAATACCCGACTATCTAAAAACAATCTTTAATGCATGTTATTATCCTTGTTCTACGAGGATACTGCAATTGGGTCCGTCTGTGTTTCTGTAAGCATATCTCAAAAACTGATAGACCAATGTACACAAACATTTTACACACGATGGGAAGACAGTATAGGACAGTCCTTCCCAAATTTGGTCTGGATCACTTTGAAGCTTTTTTTTTTTATAATGGTGGGAGATCATTTTTGTGGTTTTCAGTTAATAATTCTGTAAAGTGTGATTGGAGTTGGGCATATTAAGATTGATCACACTACAAAAAATTATCCAGATTGTTGATCATTCTGGATCTGATGAGGATTTTCTGAGTTTTCGAAGCTGAAATTTTATGTCATTCAATATAAATGCATATAATCTCGAAAAGGAGTCAGGGGCAAAGGTATGCAATGTCTCTGATTACTCTTGTTTCAATAGAGAAAGATTCTATATCAGATTGTTACATGTTGAAGGTTCAAAACTTGCATGAATCAACCTCATAGCCTGTTTATAGCTTTTCTCATAAACATGCCTTTTACATTTTTTAGTCAATGGAGATTTGCTGATGAAACATCTTGTGTTCATATTTAATAATTTTTTTGTGTTTACACCTTTTAAAGTACTCATGTAGATGTTAAGCATTGTAAGAGCTAATAACTCTGTTAGATAGTTCATTCCATCTAACCAAAAGTGAAAAAGAACAGGAAAATAAAAACATTATACTCACTCAAAGACGGTGCTGTCATTCTGGTCACCCCAAATCAATATTTCAGCAATAGATCTTAACGTCTCCACAAGTAAATCTTTGTTCTGTTCAGTTACAACCTGGTTTTTGGAGAACAAATGATACAAGTACCTATTTGGGGAATAAAAAACATTTCTATCCTTAATAACAATATCGTTTGTGATTTTCCAACTACAACACAGAAGTTAAAAATAAAATTTATGTACGTCATCCATAAAAGTACTTTTATCGTAGTGGCATATTTAATGTTGGTACAATCAGGGTAATGCACCGACTGGCCCTTAATATTGTGGGCCTCCAAAGTAATGCAAGAAACTTATAAATTTCTATATCTATAGCTGAGCAGTCTGGACAGGCCTCTAAGAAAATTGCACTAAGTAGTTTGAAGTGTGAAAAATGCCTGTTATACAGTGTATGTTTTGAAAATGTAACCCCTGCATGAACAGTGATTTTTTATTCCTGGGAACTAAAGAAAATTGGGAAAACTGTCAAAATATAAAATAATTTTAGTTCATTGATTCATCGTATATTTTATTTAGTTTACAATCCATTTATCAATGTGAAAAACTTTTTAAAACATATGCCCTTATGGTCTTTAGAATGAAAATTGTGGGAATGTGAAAGAAGTTAAGTTTTTTAATTTATTTAAATGGTCATTGCTTCTTATGCTACATGTCTACCTCCAAAGTGTAATACATTAATTCTCAGTTATTCATTCATACCTTTATGAGAATCTTTTTTGATATAAACATCTTATCTTTATTCTGACTCCACACCAACAAACCTACCTTGGTGCATACAACAACTAATGAAACAGTTGTCATCCACATTCCTAGTCTGCTATAACTCATTTACTCGCCTTAATTGCTAACAAAAAAATATCAATTTTCATCAATCATCTATTACAATTTGTTGAACAGGATGTGAAGAATGCATCTAGTCTGAAGTTTGTAAATTTCTACTTCCGTTGGGTTTTGGCAGTAATTTAATTAACTCAGTTTTTGTACAAACACATTCTCATTAATATATATGTTTATATGTAAAACTTTAGTCTCAATAAGTCACTGAAAGTCACTTTCCTAATTTTCAAATATTTGATAAAATTAGATTGAATAAGATTATTCTCCTTTACATCATGCAGAAAGTAAGTATTTCAATACACTCTTAAAAATTGAAATAAAACCTCCTAGGCAAATGGAATCAAATACACTATAAATGACAAATAATATGGTAATCTCTCACACTTGAAAGGATCATTGATTGGAAACAAAGACCAAGAAATCTCTCCGTCTTGATTTTACTAAAATTCAATGTTAAAATGACCCACACTACCACCATATGACTTTATTTAGCTCAAAGATTTTGAGTAAGTTTAAAACCTCACAAGTTTTATATACATACAACATTAATAATTATAAAGGTGATAGCAGAATGGCTCAAATTCTATACAGAATTTCTACAACTAACATAACATTTAAGGACAACAAGGGGCCTTTTGCTTCATTGAGGCTGTAACATCCTGTTATGCAAATAAAATGGTTCTAATTAAAGATGAATCCTACTTTGTCAAAATTTACATTTTTTAACCATTGTCCTACTATTCCCAACACTAACTATAAAAAAAATATGATGCATTGACACTATCAATTCCCTTATCAATCTTAGATACCTCGATAAGATCCTCTTTAACTCTTTTTTTTCAAGAGAACACAATTTCAGAGATCTTAACCTGACCTTGTATGACAACCTTTCGACCCCAGGTCTGATCCTAGTAGCCCTCCTCCGAGCCCTTTCCAACAATTTAATGTTTTTTCTTACAAATTTATGAAGTTACAATAGTTTTAGATAAGTAAGAAACATTCACCTCGTAGCACAAGAAAGATCAAGATGACAGACCATTCAGCTCAGTAAGAACATCTTAAACCTTTAATTAAAAAAACAAATTTAAGCACTAATTCAACTAAGTGAAACCTGTTGCACAAACAGAATTTTTCCAGTAAGAAGTTAAATGAACTAAAATATCAACAAATAACAAACTATTCCATAAAAAAATAATCTTAAAACAAAAAGGACAATATGTAAACTGTTAATTTCCAAAAATTATATTTACCTCTAAATTTGAGTACAATCCATAAAACAAAGTACTTTTGCACATTTAGCCCTTTTTTTATCTTAATACAAATTTAAGAATAATTAGAATTTTCTTTACCAAACTGTGCTATGGGTATAATTTAGATTTTACCCTCCATAAACTTTAGCTTAAACTGTAAGGTTTCTCAACCTTAAGACATAGGTAGATATCTAGAATAATTTTATTATTGCAAAGTAACTGTATGGGACCTCACGTGGCTCTTGTGTGAACTAAATTGGACTAAAAATTTGTGGTTTGGTGTCTACTATACTGAAAACTTCAGTAAAATATCAATACTTCAAATAATAAGTCTAAGTGGGCATAATTACATTATTCTTCAGTTTAAAACAAAACTAATTTTACAACATAACATGGTTCTACAAATATTATACAAGTTTTGTAGCTATTCCTAAAAATGTGCTATTTTACTTGTAAGCTGTTTCATGTTAAATAAAATGGTTGTACAAATATTATACAAGTTTTGTAGATATTCCAAAAAATGCATTTTCTTAATGTATAATCTGCGTCATGTTTGGTTGTTTTTTTTTTGCATGGTTTATCCAAATTTTTAAAAGTACACAAGACTTAATTATCACTTCTGTATATAACATACATCACTGAAACCTCTTAAACACACTATTTTTATACTGGTATGAGACCCCCTGGTGACTCAGCATTAAGTCTGACAATGTACAGCTTTAGTTTAACAACAAACAAACTGATATCAGACATATTCACCCACATACATACTGCTCTTTCAGTTATAGTATTAAAATAACATTCACATACAACCTAATAGTAATAAATGATATAATTACCTTTAGTTCTACAAACTTTCACCAATAACTGGTATTTATACATATTTTTCTTACAATGTTTTTGTAATCTTTTAGTAAATATATGGCTTTAAACTAAAAATCATCTCTTTATTATTTAGATGCTCATAATTTGTTTTGTGAATATTTCTTTACAGCATTTATTAATAGAAGATTTTTATTTTTCACTATGATTATATATCATCATTCTTAGTTGGAGATTTTTAGACAATATGCAAGTTATTAACTATATTTACATGCTACCCTTTAAAATGAAAACGTGCAGTGATAAGACACAGAAAATACGATTTCCTCAGGCTAAAACTATTATGGATCAAAATGTAGTAATCATTACAATCAGAATCCACCTACTGTAAAAGTTGCTGTTATTGTATTTTTAAAATAATTATTCAGTTCAGCAAGTTCCTCACTAAACATTAATCAAGAATATTACCCTATCATCTCTTTTTTTTTGCACATCTGCTTGGTTTTTTTTTGTCTTTTTTTAATATAAAATGAAGCTTTACTTTGTGCATAGCAGTTGGAAGTAGTGGCAGTGTTATAAACATTTTTTAGAACTCATAACTTCTGCAAACTTTAGTTTAGTTACTAACAGTAATATTGTAAATTGTAATATTAATTATTATAGTATATTTGTTTTTAGTTTTTATTTTAATTTTATCAATCAAAATAATGTTTACAAATTTGAAAAGTTCTACTTAATATTAGATATATGTATAACAGTTAAGCCAAAACGTTTAATTTCATCAGTATATTTAATTATTAATATTACCTACTAAAGTAATAATTTTTATGTTAATTTGTAATACATTATACAAATTCACACTGAACCAGTATTACTGTTACTAGTACTACTACAGCATTAGTACTAGTGTTAGCTTTACGCTCACTTTACAGTAAATTACACTTACTTTAAATGTTCTATGGAGTGCGGATTTTTGGGTTTCCACAGATTCCCTGAAAACCATCCTTTTCCCCGAAACATTTTTTCCGATTGTTACATTCTGCGATAAGAAATTTCTAAACACTGCAACAGATAATTCATTAATTATAAATTAATTGAGTGCTAGCTCCTACCTATTCAACGCCATTATTGCACTATACTCGGGTGTGACGATAAAAAAATTTATTGTCATTGGTTGGTTACTTAACTATATTACTCAATGCGCATGGCACAATATAAAGTTTTAGATTTTTTTCAGAGAACGTAAAATGTTTTGTACTCAGAGTGTAATTGTGAAATAAAATTAATATTAGTCAATTGCTCATAATAAAATTATTTTATCTATTTTAACTTAAACGTATTATCGTGTAGGTAAATACTTAATGCGAAAAACAGAAATAACAATGTTTAATTTATTTTTAACTTGCCATCTTCTTAAGGCAAGGGCCCCCCAGTGACACATTGGTAAATCTGACGGAGTATAATGATCAAAATTGGGTTTCGATACCCGTGGTGTACACAGAGATAATCCATTGGATAGCTTTGCGCTCGACTACAAATAAAACAAACAAACAAACTTTAGGCAGGTAATTTAATAGGAATGTTGAACACCAGATGGTAGGACATTCTTAACCGGAAGTGTTTTTTTTTTGTTTTGTATGTGATGTATGTAATTATGCCCGCTTAGACTTATTATTTGAAGCATTTATATTTCACTGTAGTTTTTAATATACTGGAAACCAATTATACGTTTTAAGTCAAAAAATTTGCTTCATACAAAAACCACGTGAGGTCCTACACAGTTACCTCACAATAAGAAAAAGTGGTTCAAGAATCTGCATGTGTCCTAAACTAAGATAAAATAAATTTTATGGGGAGTGGTTTAATAAATAAAATTATAATCACTCTTTCAATTTGAATAACTATTTCTCAAATTTGTATTAACACAGATGATCTAATAGAAGGTTTTTTTTATTATTTCTTGTTACGAGAATTGTATATGTATTGTTTTTTGTTTTGTTTTATTTATTTACAGCAAAAGCTTTAATCTGTAAGCACAATCCTTACCAAGTTAGTAAAGATACGACTAGCATGGTTGTTTACCTATATATGTTATTTTCAAGTTTCCCACAAATCGCCCTCCAGGGGCACCGCGGCAAGTCTACGAACTTATAATGCTGGAAACCTGGTTTTCGATACCTGTGGTGAGCACAGGAAGAATAGCTCATTGTGTAGCTTTCCGCTTAACTACAAACAAAAGTTTCACAAATGTTTTTTTTTGGGGGGGGGCAATTATTTGCTAACTTTTGGTTTTACAGGAACTAGAAATATATATCAAACTAGTGTGGATTTTTATTTTGATCATTAACAGATAAAGAAACGAATGACTATAAAGATACAGGCAAAATAATTGAGTCTAGAAATTAATCCAGTGTTCTGACAAATCAGTTTAATAGCGCTGCAACATATTACAGATTTTTGAATTTTATTTATCATTTTTTCGGAATGAATGTTTTTCGAAATTTAATAATGTTTCACTTATATCTTGTAAAATGATTTAATATTTATTTACCAGGAAGATAAATACTTTGACTAAAATATTATTTTATTTTATCCTAATTAGACCATTTCATTATTAGATAACTAAATTCCTGGTTTATTTTGTCTCATTTTGGCCAGTTTTTCATAACTAGGTTAATAAATTATTATTTGTCTTAATCATACCCATCTGATCCAATTGATAATATAAATAGCGCTTAGACCACTACTAAGTCTGCTGTAACCTAGTCGACCTGAGGAGCTCCTGACACCGAGTGAAAGTCCTTGACGGCAATGGATACAGCATATATAGTGTGGTTGACATTTTATTACTTCCGTGTGTGTTTGTCAGCAAGATTTCTCGAAAACGGCTGAATGGATTTGGACGAAAATTGGTATACATTTGGACTATGGCCCAACTTGGAAGTGATTAGTTTTTGGAGGGTCAAAGTTACTAAAAGGCCACAAAAATCCAAAAAGCGTATCTGCTTGTTTGATAATTTCCGGTAACAATTCTTTCCGAGTGACTTCAACGATAAAAGTTCCTTCTTGAATAAAACTAG